AACGGTGTTAAGGGAAGGCAGAAGGTTTCAGATCTCAAGAGTTCTGTGTGACRTATTTTCATGAACAACCTGTATATCTGTGTGATATATGTTCCTGTTGATTGCCATGTATTCAAGCTGATAAGGTGAGGGAAAGAACACTCCGTAAGTGTGTTCATGGATGATAGATTACCAGGTGTGTGATGTGCACTTTCAATTCTTGTTAATGCAAAAAGATATTAYTATACTCATGTTTTGCTGTATCATCTCAATATAAAGTAATAAGGGTTTTTTTGCTTGGTTGTTTGATTTTTGGTTTTGTTAGGTTTCTTTTTTTCTTAAAAGGAAGTTTAAGTTACCAATTTAATAGACCTTTTTCTCTAAGATCRTGGTTTAGTCCATTTTGTGCTTATATTTTCTTTACAAGTTCTATGCCTTTGACCCTGATGGTCTCCTCAAGTCCATTRACTAATTTGAACTTCTGCAAAATAGACTTAGAAAAAATATGTGTTGTGAGCAAGAATTTTCTATTTCTGTTTATTGCTCAGTTAAAGTAAACTTCATGGTGAATTTAATACTGGCTCTTGCATAATCTTTTCATAAAGTTTTGMAAGCACCAGTACTCAAGGCTAATAACAATAATGGGTGTACAGAGCAGCAACCATCCCTGCACATGCTCCAAGTGTGCTGGCTTTGTGTTTTTGCTGGTTTCTTCACCAACATTTGCAACAATGATTGCAGAATTCCCAGCAGGTCCAGCTGGGAGCAGGGAATATGGAGTCCAGAGGCAGTGAAGATGTCCACCCAAGGCTCTGCTGATGTTTGGGGTGTATCTGTGTGCAAGTTTGCAGTATCCTCAGGTGCCACTTTTTTTCTCCAACCTTAATTCTACTTGCTAGAAGAAGGCATTCCTCAAAAACACCTTTCTATGAGAGCAACAGGGACCTAACTCCTCTGATTGCAGCTGCACTCTTAAAGCTGTGCACTGCACAAAGACCTGGTCCTGAAAGGTGATGCTGTTCCCACTTCAACCKGCCCTGCTTTTGGGACTTTTTGCAGAGGCTGTGGTACAGCAACCTCCCCCATAACAAAGTGAAAGTCTGTCCTGGGTCCAAGGGAGCCCTGTGTCCCACTCTTTGAGACTGTGAGAACCATCACSTCTTCCAAGCTCAGGGGCAAAGTGGAAGTAAGGCAAAACCACCAGGAGGCTTGCATGGGTGAACAGGGAACTCCTGGATGAATTCAAAGACAAAAAGAAAGCCTGTAGAGGAAGGACAGACAGATAGCCTTGGAGACATACAGACATACAGTCTAAGTAGTCAGGGGTCTGTTTAGGACCATTAAAACCCCAAAAGGATTAAATGTGGGCAGGATAATAGGGGGAAACAAAAGCTTCTGTTGTTGCATTGGCGATAAAAGGAGCACCAGGAAAAATGTGGGCCCTCTATGAAAGAAGGCAGGAGGCCTGGTGACATGGGGCATGGGAGAAGCTGAGATTGTCAATAACTTCATTGACAAATGCTCCAGTCCCACCACCCACATCACAGATGGCAAAGGAAGGGGCTGAAGAAAGAAGAGCTGCCTGCTGGCAGACCAGGTTGAAGGATACCTAAAGAGCTTGAACATGCACTAGCCCATGGGCCTGCTGAGATGCATGTGCAGCTCCTGAGACAACCAGTGGGTGAAAGGGCTAAAGCACTTCAARTCTGTCATATTTGAGAGGTCATGGCAGTCTGGCTAAGTCCCTGCTGATTGGAAAAGGGGTAACACAACCCCCACAGTTAAAAAGAAAAACCTGGAGAACTGCAGGCCAGTCAACCTCACCTTGGCACTTGGCAAGAACAAGGACCAGATCCCCTGGGTGACAGCAGGGACATGCTGGAGGGAAGGGATGCCAACCAGAGTGACCTTGGCAGGCTGGAGAGGTGTGACTTTGTAAAGAACATGAAGGAGATTTTTCCCCTCTATCCAATTTTTGTGAAACCCCTCCTGGAGCTCTGCATCCAGCACTGGGATGTCCAGCATAAGAAGGATATGGATCTTCTAGAGATAGTCCAAAGGAGAATCCCAAAGATGATCAGAGGGATGAAGACAGGTTGAGAGAGTTTGGGGTGTTAAGTGTAGAGAAGGGCTCAGGGTCAACTCGTGTGAGCCTTCCAGGACCTATCGAGGCCTGCAGGAAAGCTGGAGACTTTTTGTGAGGACATTTAGTGWTAGAAGAAGGGATAATGGCTTTAAATTAAAAGAAGGTAAATTTAGATTGGATGTAAGAAAGAAAATTCTTTAGTGTGAAGGTGGTGAGACAGACTGGAAATTTTCCCAGAGAAGCTGTGAATGCCCTATCCTGAGAAGACATCAAGGCCAAATAGGATGGGGCTTGGAGTCCAAGGTGCACCTGCCCATAGCAGAGTGACAGGATGATCTTAAGGCCCCTTTCAACACAGACCACTCTATAATTCTATGGTCATGCTGGCTTTTCACTCCTTAGTCCTCAACAGGGAGAGAAGCACTTTCAGCATGCCAGACTCTTCTTTCAGCTGGTGCTATTCCAGCTCTTTCCAAGGGGAAAGAATTACAGAGCTGTGCTATTTGGCTCATTGGGCTGAGAGTGTTTCAATGACAGAGTTACAAGTACTCAGGAACTCATTCTCAAAAGTAATTTTTCATCTACAAAGTACACTAGGATTCCATATATYCCTTGAAAACAGCAAATTCTCTTCTGAAGAGGCCGCACTAAAAAYRTGCTCACCRTAAAGGAAATAATTTGAAAATGCAGTGGAAAATAATTATTGGATTTTTCAAGATCCTAATAATTAAAAGAATCAATAATTTACRATGTAGATAAATTAAATTTATAATGGTTATATGTACTTGGGATCCAGAATTTGGAAAACATGTTGTTTTAGCAAAGGAATAGTAAAAGACAAATAAAGATATGTCAGTTTTGTTAAATGAAAATYGGAAATGAATCAAACTAAATGCACAATTGTCTGTCAGTAACTGTTCCAGATGAAAGGATATGGATTTTTTTATTCTCTTCTGTTACCGTAAGACTTATAGGGAAYACGAGTTTTATACTAGTCCCATACATGATGTTGTTTCACCCATAGCAATATCAGCTGCAAAAGTAGGAACATTTTAAGACAGGAAAAGACATCACCAAAGAGCAAAACATTCTTGAGAATGTTCTTGAGCAATGTTCAAGAGATTGTCTAGTTTAAAGAGCAAAATTTATTCCTGAGTGATTTAATTTTGAAAAATGTGACTAGCACAATTTGGAAAAGCTCAAAATATAAATGACCACAAAACCTGAAAACTGAAAACTATTACGTTAGAATTGCCCTCTGAATTCCATTTTAGATGGCCTGTGTTCCCGTGGTGGGCCATCATGGAGTCACAGGCTGTAGGATTAGTCTCTAGAAAAAGCTGGTGGATTCTACATGTCAGTAAACCTAGATATCTTATCAATGATGCATGGGATTACTGACAAAAGGGTAATTTTTCCAACAGGAAAACTTACTTCTGGGTAAATATATTTCCTTCCTTTAAGCTCAAAAGGAAAGATGTATAGCTAAAAGCTCCGATGTAACAAGGTGTTTAATAAAAACATTATCACTGCTTTTGATGGCTATCAGAACATCATGTTCATCTGCACATTGCTGTAATCAGTTTAGCTGTTCTTAACTGCAACTTAACATTATTATCTGGTAAGATTTTCACTCACATGGATCAAAATGAAGCTCCAAAGGTACAATAGACACATTGGTCATTCCATGGAAATAAGTTTTTCTGAGCTGGGAGTGCATTCAGTCCCGCAGTGGACTCTTGAAAGTACAACCTAAGAAGACCAACATTTCTGTCACTTTGTCCCTGCTCCTTCTGTCTGCAGAGCTCTCTTACAGCGAGGTCACAATTTTAATTCCTTGTCCCAGTGCAGACCAAAGTGATGGCAGAAGACATAACTGCTACATCAAAGGCAGGCGTGCTCTGCCCATGTCAATGTACTCACTGAACCGAGCATTGTTCGCTTCCAGTCCTTCAGCGCTGCTTTCATTTTTTTTGAAAAATAACTTATTGATTTTATTTTCTTCCAAGAAAAAATTTCTGAGCTCAGGAAAATGGTTACCGGAGAACAGAACGATAACTTTTGTACTTATTGAATGACATTTTTTTTGCTCTTGGTAAAACAATATTATCCAAAAGTTGTCAAAAGTGGGCATATTTGAATCTACCATTGCACAAATTAGAGCATTTTAAAGCTGTTAGAGTGTTTTAATGCATTTATAGGCTCTCTTTTTAAAATAAACTTGGCTTAATGTGTGTCATGTACCTAAGCTTTAGAAAACTTACACATTTTAGTATTAATCAGGATTACCTGGGTATAAACTGGATAAATGCATCCCCCTCAAAGACAGGGGTAACTTTAATAATTTTTCTCCCAAGATGTGGGAGAATAATGGGAAAAATACAGTCAAAGTGATCTAACAATAGGTCATCTTTTACAGGGCTTATTTTCTTGATCATAGAACAGTGAAGTATAATCTGAGTACTTTATAAAGAAGACAATTGTTTTGAGCCACTGTAGGTGGTGAACTCATATATCACTTGGCATCACAACGTTCACTTAGATCTCCTTTGAAATTTTGAGTGTTTAYAGACAAGTTACAGTGTGAATTTTCACTGCATTAAATTAATCACATTGACTGTTTAAAAAATAAGAGATTCATTGGTTTTATGTAGCATTGTATCATTTTTTGTGGTTGCTGTTAAAAATAGATAACCAGAGGCTAATAGATGTTAATGGTCCCTTTCACTATTAAAAAAAAATCTCTATTTCCTGGATATGGCATATATTATTGCATTATTTTGTTAAAAAAATGTTTGATTTGAAAATACCCATACAAGTGAGTCTGTATTCACAAATCACTTTTGTTTTAACAACTCTTTAAATTTCATGCCAAATTTGATAAATATTTTCTGTGCAAATTAACTTTTCACTCCAAGAAAGGTGAAAATTGGACATGCCAGTGCTTGTCTTCCAGTAAGAGAAACTGATAATAATTTCCTTTTTTTTTTTTAATGTTATTTTACATACATCTGTACATGTTTAAGGGCCACATAATATAAATTACCTTTCCACAGCTTTTATATATTACTTTCAAACTTGTTGGAGAGTAGTTAGATTTTCAAATGCAAGTAATTAAAATTGTAAGCTATTGAGTTATTGATGAATACCAAGCTATTAATCAAGCTAAAAAATTCTACAATCAGGGTTCAGTGCTCTGAAGCACTGTAAAATAATAGTATTTGTGTTCAGTGATGCAAGTAGCCACAATTAAGCAGTTCACTTGACAAATGAGATAGTTCACTTTATTGTGCACTTAATTGAATTGTACATGCCTGGYCACCATTGTCTCCTTCCCTTTAGTTTTGGTTTCTAGCTATTTAAACATATACATTTATTACAGAGAGAGCAATTAAGTTGTGTTGGCCAYTGGCTCTGGAAAGGCAGACAACAGGAGTTAAAACGTTGTGTAGAGTAAAAATCATTATTAMCCCTCCAGAAAAAATCTTCATTTTCTTAACAAAAAGTCTGATAAGCATTTAGGACTATGCCACTAACTTAAAACAAATGTGAAATGGAAAAAAAAAAAAAAAAACCCCGTAGGATGTTAGTATTCAGTCACTTTTACCAAAGAGAAGTATATAAACATGGTTTCTTGGCATTTTATTTTAGTTAACATTTCAGCAGACCAGTCTCACATTCCTCTCTTGTATCCTTTTCTTTCTGTGTTTGCAGTTTGCTTGTTATGATTCTGAATTTGTAACATATCACTCAGTTTTTTGTGTTTGTTTGTTATGTTTATTTTTAACAAAAAGTGTTGTCAAAAACCTGAGTTCTGGGTTTCTTTCAAGATCCCCAAAAAAGGCATTTTCAATCTGGAGGAAGAAAAACGTGAATAAATGCAAAGGTTTTCAACAGAAGTAWGCAAATAGAAAGCTAATTGCAACACAGTGGTTATTTTTTCCAAGTCTCTTATTGAAATGAGTGATCTCTRAAAACCTCCAAATCAATATGAGGAATTTAATGGTGGATAGCCACAATATACAGCTAGGRTATACACATAACCTTCAGACATGAATTTGTAGGTTAGACTGTAGCTGGTAGGATTTCATGAGTCCCTTAGTTCTGATGTGTGCAGACCTTTTTGTTGAGTTTGAAAGAATTAAGGCAGGCGTATGATGCTCACTRCAGGCTCACTGGTTTGCTGAATTATGATTTGTGGTCTCCTTAGGCTCTCAGCTAATTCCTCCCCAAGAATTCCACATTTGTTAAAGAGGTTGGGAAGTTCTGGGTTTGTGTGCCTCAAGAGAGACCCAGACAAGTGGGGTCTCTTTGTCTGGGAAGATCAGGAGTTCCCTGCTGTGTGGTTTCCTGATCACACCCACGGAAGGCACTGATGGGACTCTGTTTCTTTCCCTCTGCAGACCCTACCAGTGCGGTCACTGCTCCCAGTCCTTCTCACAGCCCTCSGAGCTGAGGAACCACGTTGTGACGCACTCCAGCGACAGGCCTTTCAAGTGTGGATACTGCGGCCGTGCCTTCGCTGGTGCCACAACACTCAACAACCACATCCGGACGCACACTGGGGAAAAGCCCTTCAAGTAAGTGCTTGGAGCCAGCAGCTTTTGCCAGCTGAGATTAGAGAGGGAAATGCGTTGCTGCTGTTCACCAGCATCACCAGCACTCTGCAGAGGTTCCCTTGAAAAGCAAGGTCAGACCATGAGGTGAAACAGTTAGYGGTGCAGTTAAAATCAGAATTTATATGGGTTTGGTTCTTTCAAGAAAACCCAGCACAATCTGCTGTTCTCTAAGGATACTTTGATTGTTTTAATTAAGTGACAGGGTGCTGCCAGAGAGTCATAGCTGAAAATATGATCAAGACTGGGACAGGCTATTCTGTAAGAACATTAAAATGACTCTTTGATGTCTATATGCTGAAGTAGATGGAGCTTCACTCAAAAGTTAATTTGGCTCTGGTTAAATAAGGGGGAGCAATATGCACATTCTTTCAGTTTCAGAATCACTGGATAGAAAATGCGACTCTAGCTTGTGGCATAAGATCATCACTATAAATTGATATTGTTCAGCTGCCCCAGATACAAAAAAAAAGGTCACCTGATAAAGATGATTTTACATTTGACAGACTTTGTTAATTTCTGCAGTTTCTAATTGCTGATATTAAAGCTAAACATGTACATGTCTCAGAAATTCTCCCTCAGTGCTCACCTACAACCATATTTCCGGTGATCCAGGTGTATTTTACCTTTAGTCTTTCAAGGCTCTGCCTACCTAACAGGAAGTGTTTTCCAAGGCAGAAGAAGTATTTCCCATCCTTGTGTCTTTGTCTTGCCTGAACCAAGAGTGTATATTGTAACTGGAACAATCCCATTTTATGTATTGCCATCACTTCTTTTGGAAGATTCCTGGATGTTCCTAGGAGATAGGGAATAAGTGTAGAAGATGGTTTGTGTCCCTCCCAGTTGTCCAAGCACTGTTCTCCATCTACTCTTCTCTGTTTGTCTTTTTTTTTTTTTCCTGCTTTTGCCAAACGGTGCTTTTGATCTGGTAAATGTCAGAACCCCTCATAACAAGCCCGACAGAGATACTGGTGAGCACATTCTGCCTCCATATAAGGCTGGAAGGAGGCATGGCCTCCACACATGTCTTTGCTGGGGGCAAAGGGACAGAGCCAGGAGCAAAATGATGCGTATCCAGCTCAGAAGAACTTGCGTAGCAGAAGCCATGGCTAGGATAATGTTATAGGAGACAAAACAGGGAAAATCAGAGCATCTAAATATCGACTTCTCTTGAGCCAGTCTGTTGAATGCTCAGGGCCTATAGAAAGTGAGCCAAAAATGGTGTGAGCAATCAGATTGATTTTATCTAGTTGCTGTGTAAATAGATTTTAGTAATTAATGGAAGAGGTTTCCGGGTCAAAATGGAAAATAGATTTCATTTAATGTTAAGGTGTTACTTATGTGTAACCTTGTTGACTCCACTTAATTTTTTTCCTTAACATCCTGTTTTTGTCATGTTTCCAATAGATCTGCTATTTTGCCCCATTTAGAGTCATTATTTTTCCCCTTTGGTTTACTAATTTCTTTTCCCTTTTCCAAAATGGACTTGGTTACAGCACAATTTCATTTGCGAAAGAGGTTAATGCATGTACTACAACTAACCAGTTGTTCAGGATTTGCTACTTTTTCAGGTTTTTGTTTGTTTGTTTGTTTGTTTGTTTGTTTGTTTGTTTGTTTGTTTGTGTTGGCCTGCTCATGTGGAAGTATTTAAGTATTCCAGGATGTATTTGACTATTCCTCAAGTTGCAGGACAGAGCAACAAAAAAAAAATGTGCATGATTTGTTCCGCTTCTATATGATGTATGGAATAATTTCAGTTTTGCAAGATGTTTATTTAATTTCTTCCTTAAGCACAAGAAACAGTGGTACCATTTTCTCTCTGGTTGAAGTATTTGCAGGAAGCTTACTAGTAACCTCACATGAAGCCAAAATTGCAGTTTGCAGATCTTCCCATCCCCAGTAGTCAGATAACGAGACATATGAGCCTTGATCCTGCAAGGGATCTGTTCAAAAAGGCGGATTTGTCACACACAGGACTGGTTGCATTTGAGAGAGGAGGAAAACTTATCCAGAAATGGATCTCCTATCTGTGATGGAGGAAAAAGAGAGATCTGCAGCTCTTCTTGATGTCTCATTGCMATTTAGTTCCTCCTTTGGAAAAGGGGTGCACAAAACCTGGTATAAAGACTGTTTAGGAAAAAAAAAAAACCCTCAACAAATTCTAGTAAGGAAGAACCATAAATAGAAAAAACAAGATTTCTGCCTCTTGATCATGCAATTAAGGGTTCAAATGTTTGTTTATGAAGGAATTTTGAGTGTACACTTACCAAAAAAATGCAAGCTGTAAAAGCCACTGAAATAGTGTTTCTGTATCTCAGAGAAGTTTGTATTTGTGGAGAATTACACCCTTCTGTTAACTAATATTTTTAATACTAGAAAGAATTKCCATGCATAAATAGTGATAAATTACTTAAATTCTAGCTAAGTTACTTTAATAATAACAGGAATAATTTTGAAGGTGCTACTAAGTCCAATTTTAAATATGCTTCTGCTGCAAATRCAATCTCATGATTTCTAATGCAGTAAGGCAGCTGTGTTCATAAGTGTGTATTGACAAATTACAGTGAGCATGGAGTAAGTCAGCAATGTTAAACACCCGGTGTATTTGTATGCATATTATTTCCAGAAGTTGCTTTTWAAAATGGTGAACATATGGTAACCATATTTTAAAAGTACTTCAAATTAATTGTTGTTTAGGAGGAAGTTTGGGATTGGTTAAAAAAGTTTTTCTGTTGGAAAGCATTTTCTTTGTAGGTCCTAGGTAACTTTGGATGGTGGAAGACTTTTCTATTTGCTTTTCATTAAGATAACAATGCTAAGTGAGGTTATCTGTAGTCAAAGCTTTAGCTGAATTGCCTGGACTGCAGGTCCAGTTAGGAGGGATTTCTTTTCATGTCATCACAAGCTATCAAGCCAGCCTCACCACTGTAAAGTTTTTGTGTACTCTTATCTTACTGAAGTCTCCACTATGGCTGCTAGTCTAGGAACAAAGCTCTTAAGTAAATTAAAATGTAGGAGAAAAAGGAAAATTATTTGTCACCTCCCTTGTCTTAAATTTTTCTCACCCTTCCATGTCAACAAAATTAAAAAATAGTAAGGGCACTTGCCTGCAGAATCCAGTAATTCAAAGGTCTAATATTCAGGAGTCAACCCAAAAGAATTAACAGGAAAGATTMTTTCAGTTTGCAATAGGGCATGTGTTTTCCATTGTTTCTTGCTGAAATGCAAAACTGGAGAGCATTCATTTCAGGTTGAATATATATGTTGTACCTGCAGTGACACTTCAGTGTTGTCAAGGGTTTTTTTGTGAGTTCTTATTTGGTTGGTTGTTTTTCTTGGATTTTTGTTACCCTTTCAAAGGAGTTTAAAATGTAATGTTAAATGTACTTGTTGAATGAAATCTTAAAATTTTTCTTTTGAGAGTATCAAATTAATACTTTTTTCTCTAAAATAGACTCTCAGCACTTTCTCCATCCAAACCCTTTCACAGAAGTTTACAAAGCAAATTAAACCAATTCTCTCTGTAATCCTCAATGTCAATGTTTTGAAGGCACTGTGAAGCAAACAGCAGACCAGTAAYATGAGGGTTCTCTAAACAAAATCAGAAACCCCGGTACTGCAGATATATCCCAAAACTATTGGTGCTCTTTGTGAACTTTTCTGTTCTGTTTGCTGAACAATTCTGTTTGCTGACTCCACCCAAGCAAATCGTAGCAGGSAGCCTTATGGAAGGGTGACAAGCTGAGACTGAGGAGATTGAATGCTGTAGTTCATTGCTCCTTACAATTACAATGAAGGAACACATGCATTGTGAAAGAAGTTAACACGGATCCAGTTTTCACTGATGGCATCTGATTGTGTGAGGACTTTGGAATTGCTTTGGACCTGTATGTGTCTGGGGATATTTAAAATACTTTCAAATGCCATCAGATAGCCCTAAATGGAAATTAAACTGTATCTCAGTTAAAGAAGTGCCATTATTGCCAATGCATGTATCTACAGTGTAGGCTTAGCCAAAATTTGGTATGTCTAGCAGTCAGGCTTGGGATCAGCCCCATGGTTGCCGGGTGGTGGTCACATGAGATACAGACCCTTTTTACTTTCTGACAAATTTGACTACTGTTCAATTTTCCAACATGGCATTAAACAGGTATGGGTTACTGTAAAGAACACGCACACAAAAACACTCATGTGCTCACCAGTGTCATGGACAGAGCTTAYGGGAGTGTTATTCTGCTATAACAGACTGTGAAAGAACAGTTGATAGAGGGAGAGAGTACATAGAGTACATCATAATCCAGAAAAAAAGTATTCCTGCCCTTCCTCCCATTCCTACCTACTGTGAGACAGTAATGCTGACTGCTGTGACACTATTATCTTCACCTTTTCTGTCAGTTTGTATCCAGCAACAACTTCTCTGGACCACATTGAAAAGAGGAATCAGGAGCCTAGTACAGATCTCTTCCCATAAGCCAGGTACTTATAAATCCAAAACTATGGTCCTGAAAGTACCACCCACATCATTTGGAAGTGCCTAGAAAATTGTAGGCACATCAGGTGCTATCTGAAGGTTACYCAGGTGCAAGCAAAAGACAAGGGAATGAAGGGCCTTGCCAGAGGCTTTATTCTGACTTTTACCCAAAGGCTGTGTAAGTGCAGACAGCGCAGTCTGACCCAGCAGCAACACTTGCCTTCCACAGCCSCGCCACCCAAAGGGTAGATGCTTGTAGCACCTTTTTCTTTCCTCTCTTTAGCATCCTTCTTTCCTGTGCCTTTCTGTGTCAGACTGTAGCACTCCCACAATAGAAGAATCTTGCGGGTAAATGATGGGAAGTCACATTTTAAAGAAATATGGCAAACTTTGTTCTGCACTTTCAGAGCAATGCAAGRTGCATGTAGTGCCCAGTCGCAGCCTCCCTGGCAAGCCTCAGAAAGGGTCACGAGGCCTGCCACAGCCAGTGATTTTAGTGTTTTGATCACTCTATTGCCTTTATCTGAATCACTGATGGTTCCTAGGCATCGTGTTACCACATGTTTTCTTTATTTGGTGACCTCTTAAAATCAGGTGATTTAAAAACACAGGTAATTTTATACCTTATTTTGCAACTGTATTACTTACAGCTCAGTTAGGTAAGGATCCAAGGCTCCTATTACTCATCAAGCAAAGTACTTGTCTTTGTAGACATCAAAATAACAAAACTATCAAGTTCAAGTAGACAGTAATATCTCAAACAGACTGAGTTAACCCCCCAGCCTTAAATTGATTATAATGCCTCTGTGATAGATATATATGAATGTATATAAAMATAATACAATAATTTGCAAGTTTGTCAGGCAATGAAAGGTAGTATATTTTGACACACTAATCCAGTAGGTAATCAGTTTTCTAATAAACAATCAGCAGTACACTAATGTGTCATCAGCACTTCAGGAGCTCTGGAGAGTGGATGATCTGCACATAGACGTTAATGAATACCCCAAAAATCGTTAAGTAATCAATACTTCTGAGTTATTTTCATTGAGCTGATAGGTCTGATACATTAAAGCTGACATTTTACATTTGTCAAGATCACAGTGCAGTTTTTAACAGTGGTATAGGATGCTAAAAATATTCCATGAAAGACAATCAAAGAAATACAGCTTAAAAGTGTTGACATTTTAGATTGGTACAGTAAACTGGATGGGTGACTCTGTAATGTCTGTGCTAAATAATCCTGAAGCAGAACTTTATTACTAAAAATTACTAATGTGAACAATACCCATGATTATGCATCTGTATAAATACCTCTTTTTTATAAGCAGATAGATCACTGGGAGTTCACTTTCYGTCATTCACATCAGTGAAAAGAGAAAGATGAAAATGAATTAGCTGAGTCCTTTTTTTTYCCCTCACTTCTCCTTCAAAAGTGAGGAATTCATTGTAGTGATACTTTTATGATAATCTTCTTTGAAGATACAATATCAGACTACCATTAAAACAAAGACAGCTTTTGGAGCAAGAACCATGCAAGAAGGATCTGCTCCATCCATATTTGTGACTCATCGAACACTCCTCTCTAGTGTTCAGAATGCAAATCAAGAAGGCAGCATTTGGGAGATTAAATACAGTAGTTTGTCTTTAAGAGCAGAGATAAAGATTAAATCTAAGGTAACAATATCCCCACTTCTATCTCCTCCAAAATTCAATGGTTTTGTTCATTCATTCACACAATGTTTTTCTTGCAAATTATGTTTCTCTAAGAGAGGCCAGGGTAGAAATAAAGACAATAAAAAGACATCGAAGCAACACCAATGGCTATTMTGAGCTCTTGCTCAACCCACAGATTTCTCAAATAGTGTGGATGTTTGCAGATAATTAAGTAACCACTAACTCTATGTGCCTGTTTAAAATGAATCCCACTACATAGTCAGATCAGATAAACAAAGAGTTTTCTCTTTGTCTAGGACTGAACGATTACTGCTTTGTGATTTCTCATCCTCCAATAGGCAATTGTGGATTTTAAAAAAGTAGAAGGTGAAATTCTATTTGTCATCAATTTCTCTTAGGGGTTACAGAGCAGAAAACTGCAGACAAGCTGCTTCTTTGATGGCTCACTCCTAAAAATCTCTTTTTGTTCTTTATCTATTTGAACTGACAGTGATCAGAGCTGCAGCAGGACAGGCCTCTCTGGAGAAATCACCTTCCCCCTGTCTATTGACAGATTCTTCTGTTCTGAATCAGACAGGCCTTGTCCCATCATAGGCATCAAGGCCTTGCAAGTAGCCACCAATTAAACCTCTTGAGCCAGTAAAATCTGAAGCCACTTTTGAGTGTCTGTTCTGATTAGGCAGGATGAGACAAAGCCCATCACCCCCTCCAGAGCAGCTCCCTGGTCTCAATTTTCTCTYTTGCCTTCACCAGGTGCGAGAGGTGTGAGAGGAGCTTCACACAAGCCACCCAGCTGAGTCGACACCAGAGGATGCCCAATGAGTGCAAGCCAATAACAGAGAGCACAGAATCAATTGAAGTGGATTAACTGATTGACTGGTTGGAATTAAACTGCAAGGAAAGTCATGATTAAATGTCACGGACACTTAAGCAAAACCAAAGATTTCCTCTGAGCAACTCTCAATCAGTCCCAGAAAACCAAAAGCAGTAATAAAATAAGTAAGATGTTAAGAGATATTGATCCTGGCATGGAAGTGAGACCAGGAAAGAGATTATTTATTTATGACTAGGGATGAGTCTTATTTCAATTGACAAGTTACTTGGGGCTGTTAACATTTCAAGTCCCTCCATGTATTGCTTTAATTCTAAAAGCCTTTATAATTGTTATTTAATGCCAAAGTGAGGAATCTCAAGGGTTCTTCTGCTCATAGTTATGACTGAGAATGCACATGGACTTGTTTATTGTTGCACCTTTTTTTGTAGCATGACTCAAAGGACCCAGATGTTATCTGTACATTTGGCTGGGCTGGGCTAAGTTGATCTTGACATGGCTGTAATAGAAATTGCTGTGTGGGATGGGAAGTGATCAAGAGCTATACCTGGGTCAGTGTCAGCCACCTCAGACCAAAGGGCATTCCATTTCCATAGTCTCATGCCTCACACTGTGTGCACTTTTTCATGCAAGTAGTTTGCATTGACATTGGCATAGATATTCTGGGGGGAAAAAAACCAAAAAAACAACAAAAACAGAAAGTTAAGAAAAAGAAAAAAAAAGTTTAAAAAATAGCAAAGTTGTATATCTGCAAATATGCATTATATAAAGAAACAAGTAGGAAAACTATGTTAAACTAATAGAGCTTTCAAATTCAGTCTAATAGCTATGAAAGACAGAGGTGGTAGAAAATATTTCAAACAATAAAGGTTCCAGTCCATGTGTAAATGGTATTATGTGGAGCAGAAAACCAAGATGATATTTTTGGTGTGGGTAAATGATTTAATATCATGTTGACTTCTAGGAAAATCAACCAAAAATCCAAGCTATACTCCATTGATATTTTTAGCCTGGTTTTTGGATCAAATTGGAAATGCTCCTGTATGAGATGAAGCTTTCAACATGGTTGGGCTGAGCTTCAAAACAAAAGATAAATCTGAACACAGATATTTTGTAAATTTCATGGAGGCTTCAAAGCATTCAMTTCATGGAAATTTGCCTGGTACAGTGAATGAAAGAAAGGCAAAATACATCAATGTAAAAAGCTCAGATGTCATTAGCTTGGTTTGATTTAACAATTTCCATATTGGCCCTTTTTCATGCTTTTATTCATGGTGTATTTCAGATTTCATGATTTTGTCTAATCAAATTATGTTTTCACTTTTAGAGACCAGCAATGTTTGCTTATATATTGATTGTCTCAATGCTAGAACTGTAGATTGATAAAAATGTTTAAAAAAAAAAAAAAAAAAAAAAAAAAAAAAAAAAAAAAAAAAAAAAAAAGAAAAAAGAAAAACCAAAAAGAAAAAAAAAAGAAAAAAGAAAAAAAGAAAGAAAAGAAAAGAAATGAAACCACAACCACCAAGAAGCAAAACCTAAACAGTCTGAGGTCATGCTTTATCATAAGGTAAAACTGCAAAATAAAATTGTGGAGATTATGGGGATTAAAGCAGAATAATTCAGTTTTGCACCAAAACTGAAGTGCTGAGTGGCTCATAAGGGCTCAGTCGATTATATTAAATATTTTAAACACATTTATGGGGATGATTTTAAATATGTAGAGAATTAAGTATCCAGTTCTGTAAAGGGCTAGACAGAATCAGCTACAAATTTAATACCAGGTTCAGATAATTCTGCAGAGAGTTCAAGCAGAAAAAGAGCTTACAGTAAAATTCAAATGCATTTAAAGAAAATTTAAAAACTAAGACACCTGTACCGCATGACATTAGTTTATTGTATTGAAAAAGCTACACCACAGAATCTGGAGTTTCCAAAGCTTTGCAGGGAATTACTTCAGGAGTATTTGTGTTTGGCCATCAAAAATGTAAAAATCATTGTAGGGAAAGAAAAAAAAAAAAGATTTTTTTTTATCATTGTTCTAGCAAGTATCAGATTATCTCATAAAGAGGCTTCATCCCTATGAGTTTTCAGCTCTGTTTCTCAGTGCAGAGATATGGGGAGTGAGCTATTCTGTCACCTGCCTGGTTTTATCCTCAAGATTATGAGAAACTCTTAGCTACTATATAAATGTGTTTGTTTGTTTGTTTTTAGGTTCAAAGAAGCATGGGAAGCTGGGTAGGACGACTTGTAACTTAAAGGTGACTATTTGAACATTGTTTTGTTCCTAGCAAAGCTAAGGAAATGGAAGAAACCAAAATAAAATCTGTTTCAGACCCTCACGCCTAGTACTTCACATCTTCCCTTATTCAAACAATTTAATGTAAAGGAATATTCTGATGGGGCACCAACTTTTAGTTAACATTTCAACAGCATCTACAGATAATTTCCGTGCGCAAACAGTAAAAAAAAAAAAAACAAAAAAACAAACAAAAAAAAACCAAAAACCCTGAGAAGAGAAAATGTATAAATAGAGTAAGTGGGAAAATGTCATGCTCTGCAAACCCTGTGTGAGCTGTGTTAGATCAGAGAGTTGTGCTGCTGCGCTGTCCAACCATGGCCCCGAGCTCAGGGGTGGATGTGAGAGCACAGAGCACGCTGCCCCTCGCAGGAAGGGATTTGTATTCAAACCCTGTAGTGCAAATAGAACCTAAATATGTGCTTACAGATATTGTAAGTTCCCTGCTGACTACAGGTAGGCTTACTTGTATGTTTTTTATTTAAGCGTGTCTAAGAATTCTGCTGAAAAGGTGTGGAGTAAAGATCTATTATTTCAAGATTTTACTGGATTTTTAAAAAATGCACTAGAGTAGTATGTCTGCAGAACTTATTTTATTTTCCTTCCAAATAGTTCTTTTCAGTGTAAATCACTATGTTGTTCCATATGCCTAAACACAATTTCAATCATTGTAATATTTTTTACATTGCATTTTCACAACAGATTTGGCAGCATACAAAACCAATGCAGTGAAAACCCATGATTTCGTAGTGACATTTTCTTGAGTACCACACTTGGCATTCCGTTACAGTACAGTAAATGTAAAACCAACATTGAGCAAGCTAAAACACAATCTGGGTTTGGGCTAAACAGAATCCAGTTCCTGTTTGCACTTCCCAAATGCTGAGTGACTTTCTGTTCACAGAAACTGTGTATCAGCAGAACAACTGTACATTGAGGTCTATTATACATACAATATGTGTTTGCACACAGTAATCTAAAGCAGTAAGTGTAGTACAATTATCTTTAAATGTAGTGATTATGTGCCTGCCATTTCAGATTTTCTGAAGCACTTGGCATCTCTGTTTTTGTTGTCCAGTAAAAAAATACAAGCTTTTGGGTTTTGAAATTTTTTTTGTCCAACCTTGAACATGTTGGGAATCATATTTAAAAATTGTGCCTAGTTCTGATTCTTTTTCAGTGTGGATTAAATTTAAATGTTCGAAACATTATGCCTTTCAGAAAGACTTTAGGTCCTTTATAAACCTACAGTTATAGCCCCTAAAGATGATAGTTTTAAATACAATTTGATTTTCTTCCCCTGAAAGAAACTTGAATTGGGAATAATTTAATAATTACAGCACATTACATACTAGAAACTTACAAGAAATTATGTGCATATCTTTTACTTTTTGGCAACATCATCCCTCCTTTAAATTCATATTTATTCATTGTATGGTGCCATTGAGTTATGTGATGCTCTCTTATAGCTAAAAAAATACGTGATTTCAAACAAATCAATAGGTGAATGTCAGAAATTAAGTCCTCATTGCTTTTAAGAGTAGCTAAGTTGTTCTGACTTTTTTAGAAATTACAATTTGAATGTTATTCTGTTCCATGCAAGTCCTTTCTGTGGATAAGATTCCAGAAAATAAAATATTCTGGGACTGCATGAAATTTATTTTTTTTTTCCTAGATTTTGGATGTTTTGACATCATTGAGTCAATCTGAAAAAGTCCATAAATCCACCCTATAGATGTAGAGTATGCTGAAGGGGTCCTGTGTTGTAATAAAAATAATAATGATACTGTAATTAGAAAGATCGACAGTTTGCTTGCATTTTTTAAACTTCATAAAATTGCCTCTTTTTTACTGTAAAGGACCAATTAAGTCATGCATGTAGCTGTATTCTTGTGATATCAAATGTAAAGATTACATTGTGTTTAAATGAAAATAACAGGCACACATTTAAAAAGAAGATGAAGAAATGTAAATATATTTGATTAATAAAACATTTCTATTACTGTACCCTAAGCCTTTGTCTTATGTTAATATTGCCTACAGAATTTTGTGTCCGTTCTGCAGGAAATCAAATATGCTTGAATGACTGTACATTTAAAGTAGCCTCAAAAAATCCGTAGTTGTCATTATCAGCTTCCAAAAGGTGCTTGCAGCACAGAAGTTGCAAACTCGTGTGCAGTCAGAAGAGAATGAGATCAAATATAGATTTCTTGGTCTCTGAGTGTCACAACTCCAATTGATACATTGCTGAGGGCACGCTACAGTCATGTGCTCAAGAAATATCTCAGCCATGTTTTGGAATACTTTTGTGTAGGTTATGATGTAAACCATGGCATATTATAACCACGTTCTTCTCTTCTGCCTACTCGAGCACGGGTTTCTTTTTTGGTTGACGGCTTGAGTCATGTTTGGTTACCTGAATCCTGATTAAAAGGATCACCATCTAGTGGACTAAGACAGAATTTCAAAATTCCAGTTGATGTGAACTTTGATCTCATGCTTCAGATGTCACTCTGAAACCTAAGCTAAAAGCAAAAACCACGCTGGCACCGCAAGGGATCTTCAGTGCCTTTTTCAGCATTATTTCGTGGCCATTGTGTGTGTCAAAGAGCAGTGATTAGTTTGCTAAGTTACCCCTTGTTCCACTTGAAAAAATATCACTTGAGTATGAGAAAAATACGTCAGTTTCTGTCATTTTTCATGTTATATGACCTTTTACATATGCACAAGAACCACCATGGTAGAATAATTGTGTGAAACTACTGTGTTTGAGAAAATACTCAGGTAAATTGGCCAGTAGACTTCCTGCTGATTTGCAAGTAGCAGGGATAGTCAATCATTCAAGGCAAGTTCTTGCTAACGTCCAAGGAAAGGTCTTGCTAACAAGAAATTGTATTGAGTCATGCTGTATGAGATTATATCACCAAACCTGCATAATCTGTCATGAGCTAATGAGACACAAATGTCTGAAGGGGGTGGTGGGTGGAGGAGTCCTTTGGCTGATGGCCCAGTCCATGATATAAAAAAGTCCTGGGGTCCACTGTCTTACAACTCTTAGGGTGCATGATTTAGAAGGGGCGAGACTCAGGTCTGCTAATGTTTTTCTTTCAACTCATTTACTGAACTATTTTAGCTGCACTGAGGACCAGGATTGTTCTGCTTCCTTAATTTGTCTCTGAATGTGTTCACTGAGATCTGGGGAAGAATAAATGCAATATTAAAGTGCAAAAGACCAGTGAAGCATCAGTTTTACTTTTAGGCTTTTGTTTTGTTTTTTTTTTTTTTTTTTTTTTTTTTTTTTTTTTTTTTTTTTTTTGGTCCAAATAATGTGCATGCTCCCAAACAAATAGACAAGAGATGAGCAGCACCCAAGTCACTGCACACACTATTAGTTGAAATGGGTCCAGTGACTTCTTACTACCACAAACACTGTAGCTTACTACCAAGCTACACCGGAGCTGATGGCACACAGATTTTGAAGCTGCGCTCTGGCCTCCATGCACTGAGTGTCAATATTTTTTTCCCCATGCTCAGACTTAGTTCTTTTAATACCTGCTAAAAAACAGTCAGCAAAGCATTTCGAGAGCAAACTCGGCCAGCCTTGTGTTGCATGAGTGCAGGGGACAGGCTATTGGACTAACCAACCAATATAATGCAGGGTGCTTACACACCCAGTTGTCTGGTGAAGACTGACACCAACTGATGTACAAGAGTAATCTGGTGTCTAAAAATTAGATGTGCTAGAAGTCAGTGCATCGGATGGCAGTTTTATTTTTCTTCTCAATATTKCCTGATGACCACCCTGAGGTTGGCCCCTGACCAGCTAGTCAAGGGATAGCCACAGGTAGCTCCTTTGCTCTAAATCTGAATCACTTATATAGGCATAAAATAAAGACCACAGACATCTGAACACAGTCACAGGTGGTTTCCTCTTCATGTAAGTGAGGACCTCAGAAACCAAATGGTGTAGAAGATCTAAATAACCAAATATGATTTGAGCTGGTCCAAGGACATGGGAAGGGAAGAGGAACATACTACCACAGAAGGAATCAAAATCTTGGCACTCAGTGTGTCTCATCTTTGAAKAAAGAATTGACAA